GTAGCTGGTAGTAATCGCTTAAGAAACACGTTGAAGCAAGTGAATTAAGGTGTCGATGTGAGGGAAGTTAGTTATTATATCGACAGGCACACCTTTCATGTGATTCGAGAATAGTTACATGGTGAATGAAGAAACTTTGTTTTAAAAGCGAACTGATTTCTGAAGAAATTTTCATTTAGGACTGCGTTTTGAACAAATCATCCGCCGTCTTTTGGATTGAGAGAACTATTTTTGGTTTTTATTAATCTTTAATTATTTTCACAACGTACAATTTTGTTTCATTATTTAACATATAATGTTCATGGCAATATTCTCCTTCACAAGTTCGTTGAATATACAGATAAATATTATGTAGTTTTTTTACAAAGAACAGTTTTTCGTGTATATTTTCTTCTCTCTTCACGATGCAAATATGCTTGTAAATAACATTTTTTATCGATCGAAAAATTAGAATAATAATATTTTGATACTTTTTTGAAAAATTTCTGAACACTACGCGGTCCAGGTAACCAAAGGCCAGCAACTGGACGTAATACTAATGGAAATATTATGTATTTTCTTATGTGGATAGATGATTTAATATGTGTGCTATTATCTGTATAAAAAACAATACCAATATATAGCCATTTCCATTTATAATTTCCAGCTGATGGAGATGCACGAAAATAAAATTTCATATTTTTAAGTGACTTGAGATAAAATTTCCAATCGACATTATTATATAATTTGTTCATTTTTGATAATTGTGAATAATATTTAGCATGAATCAATACATCGACATAATCGTCATATGGTAATATATCTTTTAAAAAAAAGAGAAAACTATAGACATTAAATCTTTATTAAAATTTTCTTGATACTTTTGAAGGCATAATTTAAAAGAATCACATAAAGAAAAGAGAGAAAAATGTCGATTGTGTATTTTGAATAGATTTTTATGTTTTTGAGAAAAAACAAATGTTAGTTATTATTTGATGTATTGAAAGTACAAAAACATAAGTTTGGATTGTCAATAAATTAATGATAGAATAGCTATCTATTTTTGTAGCTATAACTGTAATTTGAGAACTTATCAAGCAGAGTTTTCAAAAACTATGAAAACTTTTAAGATTTTTTATTTTTCTATATTTATTAGTTTGATCCATTTTAGAATTGTTCTTGGTATGTAATAGATTTTATATCTTTTCTGTACAGCTTCATGAATTATGATTAAAATAAGATTAATTTTCAAATTAATATCAATTTTTGAAAAAAAGGCGCTCCACGAAAATGCCTATAACTTTTCAAGGGAATGCGATGGAGACTTGCGGTTTTCGCCGTTGCATAGACCTTCGCACGGGACGTGGCACTATGGAGTAATCAGAAATTTCAATAAGATTCATGATAGTAAGTTCTTGTATGAAAGTTTGACAAGGTTGCCATTCTTAAAGAGCATGATGAACTTCAGCTTTGAATTGCTAAAATCGATAGCCCGGATCTAGATCTGAAATTCTACGCAAGGCGCAGGTCTCTATCTTTTATGGTTCGAGAGTTATAGGCATTTTTCTGAAAGGTATTGATAGACCCATTGCTATAGAAAACATCATAAGAATTACTAGTATTTAGAGCATTTTGATTATGAAACGTCAGTTATTATGAAAAATAATTATCATATTCGTAATCAGCATAAAAAATTACATGGAAAACTCTATTTTTTATCATCAAATTTTTCCATCGATATTTTGACCCCCTACTCCCCCTCAACCTTTCGTTCCTAAAACTTTAACCCGTACTCCCCTAGGGGTCAAAATATCGATGGAAAAATTTGACGATAAAAAATAGAGTTTTCCATGTAATTTTTTATGCTGATTACGAATATGATAATTATTTTTCATAATAACTGACGTTTCACAATTAAAATCTTGAAATACTACCAGTTCCTATGATATTTTCCATAGGAATGGGTCTTTCAGTATCTTCCATGAAAATGCCTATAACTTTTGAACCATAAAAGTTAGAGACCTGTGCCCTGCGTAGAATTGTAGATCTCGTTCTAGGCTATCGATTTCACTAATTCAAAGTTAAAGTCCATTATGCTATTTAGAAATGGCAGTCTTGTCAAACTTACATACAAAAAGCTACTATGGTAAATTTTGTTGGAATGTCTGATTATTCCATAATACCACGCGCCCTACAGAGATCTATCCAACGGTGAAAACCGCAGGTCTCTAACACAATTTCTTCAAAAGTTATAAGCATTTTTCTGACGCGCCTTTTTTTCAAAAATGGATATTGGATGCTTTAATGGCATCGAATTTCGTCGGATCCAGACGATTTCCGACAATTGGAAATTATCTGAAATTAAAGGATATTGATGCTTTTCAATAGTTGGAACATTCAGTACCCAACTAGATGATTTCGACCTGGGGAATTGGAAAATAATTTCAATATATTAGAGGATCTTTTTGCATATTCACTAAATACAGCTCATTGATTTATTATTTGAATTGATATGACGAAAAAACGAGAATAAAACTTTATAAAACAAAGCATCGATATAAGAAATGTCGAATGTAGAGATACTTATGTCATGACTTAATATAAAAAATTATAGTTATGATATACATACCACAGAGAAGCAAACATTGGTACAGCAACGATGGATTTAGAAGACCAATAGACGTTCGTTTCTTTCTTCGAGAAATTTTTTCGTTTTTTTTTTCAAGCAGAAATAACGAAGAACGAGTTTGTGCTAAATGGACAGGCCTTGAAAAGTAATCTTTTACTATTATGACTTGCTCTCTTCTCATCTTCAACGCGACCTAGTCCTTCTTCTAGCTTTCTAAGATAATAGATTCACTTTTGAGATATAGATATGGTTCACTCAGGAGAAAAACTTTAGAATTTTCCATTTTAACAATCTCTCCTTTCGATATTTTTCTTCTGATATTTTTTTTGATATTATTACTTTGAAATTTTGTTTTCTATACTTTTGCCTTTTTCTATCCAGTCGTTGAAAAAACAAAATTGATCGATTAGTTATGCATTGAATAAAACTATTAGCAATCATACATTATTTTATTTCTTTTTCAGAAAAAAAAGAAAGAATCCTGAAAAATTATTTATCATTTGGATCGAATTCACTAAAGTTCAAAAACAATTATTTATATCAGACTAAGTTTTGAGATTAACTGAGCAAAATATAATGGAAAAGATTGATTGTTATGCATGTAAATCAACAGCACATGCTAAAGTACGAATATATAAACGAAGAAATATTCTTATAGCTGAATGCGAAGTTCAAAATCAACTTTGTGTTCTAGAGTCTATCTTAAAATGTTTAGATTCATTTTTTCAAATTGTTAGAAAAATATTTTTTTAATTAACTGTCAACTAAATCCTGCAAGTCCTCATATTCACTATAAAATAAATAAACAGAAAGAGTATCACTTTTTATCCTATGACATATTAGACAAATGAGAAAAAAAAAACAACACTCTTTCAATCATAAATTTATTCAATGATCAATTTTGACTATAGAAAAATACATTATTGTTTGTATTGACGATATCGGTCAAATAGAATAGATGAATACATATGCATATAAATATTGACGTTCATAAATTGAAAAGAATAGATAAGTGAAAATAGACATGTTGAATTCATGTGTTGGACTGAATGATTTACCTGATGAAATTCTTATGATTATTTTCAAAAAACTCAACCATATTGATCTACTTTATTCTTTACATGGTGTCAATCAACGACTAAATAAAATTGTTCATGATTCAATTTTTACAAGTTGTTTGACTTTTGTCAAATGGTTCTCACATAATTTCATAGATCTAATTTGTTCTGATATGATGCTTAATCGATTTTGTTTACAAATTTTGCCTGAAATTCATGATAAAATCAAATGGCTTAATCTTGAATCATCATCCATGAAACATGTTTTATGTGCTACAAATTATCCTAATTTATATGCTCTTGGCCTTTATAATATTGATGAAGAGTCAGTTCGATGTCTTTTTACTAGTAAGATATTTCAATCCAATTGTCATTTATTCTATACAAATGAAAGATTTATCAAACTTATTCACACAAATGACTAGATCATTGAATATATTCATATTACTTAGATAGATTTTTTTTTATTACTAATATTGTATATATATTTAGATGAAACCCTTTCATCAAATGTTTTCAAAAATCAGATTACAATACTATTTATTACAATTGATAGTAATAAGGAGACGACATTGACGGTGGTAAACATATGCGATTATATTTTGACTGTTCTCACCAGTCTAATTTATTTAACATTATATGAATCATCGTGTAGAAATCGTCTTCGATTATACTTTGATGATCCACCTTCTCCTACTTTTCATTCTTCAACTCTTCAGAAATTGAATATCAAGATTCGATGTTTTGATGATTGTCTTTATCTTCTCGATGGTCGTTTTAATCAACTTAACACACTCTTTATTGATTTGCTTAGTATTGAACGTCCAGAGGAAATTCATATTCAAGTTAGTGTTACAAGAAAAACCTCTTTGTTGTCAAATAACAAAAGAAATATTGTTTTTTTTTATAGAGCGATTTACCAAATCTAAAATGTTTTTCTCTGTCCTGTGATTATGAAACAAAATATTACGATGAATTAATCCTCCCACTTCTCTATCGAATGCCAAATCTAGAACAACTTGGTTTGTATATTGCGATCTTTGTTGATAAAACATTTATTGATGGAAACAATTTGAAGAGAAACATAATTAATTGTATGTCACGATTAAATCAATTTAGATTTCATATTCGCTCACTCATGTGTATTCATAATCAAGTAAATTTACCATCAACAGAAGATATTCAACGCACATTCATTGACTTTCCAAATAATAATATAATTTCTCATGTTATTTATTTTCCAGAGACAAGAAAAGGTCGATGTCACATTTACTCATATCCATCTCGAATGCAATATTACAGTGGTATTACAAATAATTTTCCTGGTGGATTATATACATATGTTCGTGTAGTGTTATTATTGGATGAACGTCCTTTTGAACATGAATTTTTTCTTCGAATTCAGAAATCATTTCCATTTATGGAACAATTGACTTTGAATAATCAAAAATCACAAAATCGCAAACAATCTTATGAATTAAATAATGATAATCGAAATTTATCTGTTATTCAATATTCTTTTCTTAATGTACTTGATATGGTCGAGGTCCATGATGATTATATAGAACAATTTCTATTTGATTCTAAAACGTATTTGCAAAATAATGTTCTTCTTTATATCAATTACAAATCTTTAAAACGAGTAACACACAATTTCACAAGAGATGCTACACGAATTAATTGTACCAAAATAAATGAATTAATACTATTTGGTAAAACAGAACGTTCGAATTCTTTACAAGAATATTTTCCTTATGCAAAAATATGTAATCTAGGAAGATTTTGAATGAATAAAAAATAAAGTATTAAATTAAAGACAAATATAATAAAATAAGAGAAAATTGTCTTGTCTATTGTTGTAAGAAAAAAGAAAATCTACATAGATATGAAAATTATTATGTGTTCTAAGTAGCAATCTGTGAAATAAATTAATTTTGGTTAAACATATATGTGTATAAAATACGGAGTTGCAGCATTTATTGTGCAAGTTTCTTTTTTTTTGTTTCGTAATGTGCTGGTAATTATTCAGAACAATATAATCATATAATAAGATTCTTAAATTTTATTC